ATTCCCAAACACTTTGTCAATGCGGTTGACGGCAGTTTGCAGGCTCATGGTGAACGAATGAAGTCCTGAAAAAAATTGCAAGGGCGACTGCATGCACCTGCTGAACCACGCCGGGCGGATATTTTTCCCCATCTATATCGCATAACCTTGGAGACGAACTGACTGCGAATCGGGTACATGGCACACCAGGACAGCAGGTTCTCTCCGCACACCGAACTGGCAGCTGCTGCCGGGACGACGGCATTACACCGCCAAGTTCAACCAAGTTCACCAAGCTTCAGCATACAGATCTCAAAGCCAACACATGTCCTGGACCGACAGAGACTGACCACAAGGAAGTGTCAAAGCAACAAACCTATGGAATGGCTAGCCCCCAAAATCGGAAGTGCCCCGAAGCAGAACGGACTGAGCCTTGCAAATGTCGGCAATGCCATCGCTGTCGATTCCTGCGCTACTTACATTCTAGCTGCCACTGTCCATTACACTGGACGAATCGACGCAGCCACCCCTCCAAGCGCAGAGTAGCACGACAGCCAGCATCGTGGAGCCAGAGAGTAGCTCCTGCGTGGCCCAAGTCCAGAACCTCCAAGGAGGTGTTCCGCTCAAGGATGTACCCTCGATTGCGCACATCTTGTATGACTGGGACATGGGCTTCAGGTTAAAAGCGACTGTATGTGCATATGCATTGATGCATGTTGATGCACTGCTGTGTAGAGACATGAGCTGGGGCTTGTGATCTTGCACGGTTAGAACCCTCACATGCAAAAGACAGCCATCGATGTGCAAGCCAGGTCGCGCAGCACTCGCCTCGTAAAGAAGCAGTCGGATGTTACAGGATACTGCACACAGAGACTACCCTTGCTGCGACGACGAGCAGAAGAAATGCAATGGCGTAGCAAAGGACTACAACTAATAGCAGTGCCGGGTGGATAATAGTGATGCTCCAGATCCGGATACGCTCTCGATGATGCTGAACTCAAGAATACTTAGAGTTGTATGACAGGCGCAGATTCCAACCCGGCAAAGCATTCTGAACCTCAGTCGTACCTACTCCGGTAATTAACAAAACAGGTACCCCAGCAAGGCAAGAGCAAGTTTGGTCATTTGAGCACAGCATCGAGCAGGGTCTTGATAATTGTGTGTACCCTATATATGCTTTATACTGAATCACAAATCTGTGCATACTATTGTTATTGTGCCTTCAAACTAGATGTTACATGAAATGTATTGCATGTCCTGGCAGCCACGCGGCGCGTTTGCATTGCCCGTTCCTCGCGGCGCATAGGATGCTCGGAATCCGAGCTGCTGCAAACCTCAACTTTGAGGTTCTATAAGGGTTCTACATGGTTTTCCCTCCTGCTTAGCAAGGACGAGCCCGCATTGCAGGGTAAGTTCAAGGGTTCTACCTTAGGGTTTATAGGGTTTACGGTTCGATGAAGGTTCGATAAAGGGTGCTGGAAGGTTTCTATAAGCTAAGGCTCCATAAGGGGCACTATAAAGGTTCTACAAAAAGTATGCTCATGCATCGCTTCTAGGCTCCCTGTGCGCCTTTGAGACGGCGTGATGCAGCTATGCACTGGATATCATGTACTTGTTCAGGTACATTGTTTGGGGATTAGTGTTTCGTGTTCATGGACCCTCAATATCAATGTATCACAGACGCCGATAATCAACAACCCCCTCCTCCCCTGACAGATCATCCTAGGATGCCCCTACTGTACCTGGAGCTTTGGGGCCCAGGGAAGCCGGGGGGAAGCTTGGGGGGAAGCTTCGGGGTAATTTCGGATCCCTTCACCCCGAACCGATCTCAAGGCGAGTTTCGGGCTTCGGGATGTCCCAAGACGGCAGCTTCAAGCTGCTCTGGTCTACAACGAAACGCCTCCACATTAAGGAGGGTTATATCGTTTCAATTCTACCTGCTGCCCTTGCTGCACGGAAAAAGACACCGGCTTTCGGGTGAAGAGCATGCGAAAGGAATGGAGATGCCTTGGGAACGCGATTGACCAGGCCATCTATTTGGTGCCAACAGGTACTGTCTTGAAGCTGTGAGCGTCTATGACCCGAGACCCGAAACCCTAGAAGTCCATGACCCGAAACCCTCGAAGTCTATGACCCGAAACCCTAGAAGTCTATGACCCCCAAACTCTCTAAGCCGAACTGAGATGTGCAACTCGAGCTTTCGGCCAAGAAGTCGCAGGCCGGGAGCAGGCAGCTCTCCCATGGCACCTTGTGAGCAAACTGGCACACGTCCTTCTGCCATTTAGAGTTTATAGGTTTAGGGTTTTTTTTGCCACCCACCTTGCTAGGACAGGGTTTAGGTTTGAGGGTTTAGGGTTATCTTGTACATACGAAGCCAAGCGCTCTATTTCGGAATGTCACCTCCTTGCCGATTCAAGCACGCCCCAAAAATATTCTAGGTTAAGGACTGCAGACTTTAGGATTGTCGGGGGGCTTAGCATTTCCAAGCACACAAAGTGGCATGTCATTGGGGCTTCGGAAACTCTGGCTGTCGCACTTGTTTTGAGGATCTCCAAGCTACAAGCTGCTGGAAATGCGCATACTCTTGTCGCATTCCCATTCCCGACATGCGCAGAAGCCCCCGGTGGTTGCAAAGGAGAAAGCTTGCACTGCACCTGAAGGCATGATCCACCCAGCCGCAGCCATACAGCGATGGCCGGCTCCACGGGAAATCCCAAGCGACCTGGACATTGGACCAAAGGGGTTGGCGAGCGGGTTCTGATCCGCTTGAGATGCTGAAGGCCTCGCGCTCGATATCTTCAACCCTTATCTCTGGGAAAAGTTGCATAGCTAGCTAGATTAAAATTTAGATATAGATATATAGACAGAGAGTTAGACAGATAGACCGGGAGACAGACAGGCAGATAAATGTAGACACATAGATACATGGATAGATAGATAGATCGACAGTAGGTAGATAGAAAGACTTATCGGTAGACAGATACAGATAGCTAGGTAGATAATGGTCGATAGATAGATGTGTGTCTATACTGCTGTACAAGTGTGTGTGTGTGTATACTTATACATATATACTTTGAATGTGGTACAGTACATGCTTCCCAGGCAAGTTCCCTCGTTGTGGTGGTGGTCGCAGCAGCAGCAGCAGCAGCAGCAGCGGCGGCAGCAACTGATGCTGTCTGTCAGAATCATCCGAGTTGCGACAAGACTCTGCGTAGAGAGTTGCCCGCTCGAGACCATCGCTGCCTCGAGTATTTCTGCTTTCGACTCGTGCATCGGTTATTGAATGGTTTTGCTGGTATCTTCGTGGGATCCAGCTACCAGAGGTGAGCCTGAATTCCGAAGCAGGTCAGGCACCCTGATTTGAGGGGAAGTAGAACAACGGTCTCAGGGTTGTTCCAGGAAATCCAGTGTTAAGTATCGTGCAAATCAAAGCTCCCACAATTTACAATGCAACACCTCCAAAACCGAAAGACAACAATTCCTAGTGGTCGCACAGGTCCGACGAAGTTACCAGTACAAACCAAGGGGATCACAATTTGTTGACAACCCACAATGCCAGGAGTCTGGGTGGGCTCTGCAAAGCGTCGGAGCTCCTGAGATGTTTTGGGGATGACGTGTCCAAAACGCGAGCTTGGGTCCGGGGTCGTAGACGGTCGGAATCTGTACGAGCAGCAACGGCAAGCATACTGAAACAGAACTGCTGAGCAAATAAGACGGCAGGGTTGCTCTCAAGGAACCCTATGGTAGAAGCTATCGTGGCTTTTAAGTGTTACTACCACTACTCCTGCTTCTATTCCTATTCTCGAAATCCTAGTCCTACTGCTACTACTTCTACGACAACGACTACTACGGCAAGCACTGCTGGCACTACTGCTAGTACTAGTAGTACTACTCGTACTATCATTACTCGTAGACTGCTACGACTACTACTTCTGCTTCTGACTTCTACTAGTTCCTGCTTGGCCTGCTACGACTGCTACTACGACAACGACTCAACGACTACTAACTACTACTGCCACTGCTGCTACTGCTGCTGCTGCTGCGATTTTTGCAGCTACTCCGCCGCTACTACCACCACTCACCACTACTCCTCCTCCTCCTGCTATTAACTACTACCACAACTGCATGGCCACCGCTCCGTCTGCCAGGGAGCGTGCTCGCTGCAGGGCAAAAAACATACTAATCAAGACTGGCAGCTGCTACAAGAACAAACACCACCAATTAACGTTCTTCTGTGGCTTTTCTGCCACTTCCACCAAGGCGATCGCAACAGAACAATCAACTCCAACAGCGAATGAAGGAATGAACAGCAGGTTTGCGGCAGGAACACGTGACGTGCACGCACGAAGCCACAAGACGACGAAGGATTTCTGTCTGCGGAGAGTGCATTGGTTATTCAGTCGGAACACAACATACTTCTCTGAACCAGGCGGCATGTTGGGAAGCTGGCTGTCGTCTAGCTGCGTCATGCGGTCCCACGAATTACGAAATGGGTCAGCAAGTCCTTATACCGCTTACACGTGCTTTCAGCTGCCTAGGGAAACTGTCGGAGCAGAATGGGCTTCAATAATAACATTGCAGGGACTTCCAGGGCATAGCCGCAATCTTGACAGTTCCGGTGTGTCCAGAAATGGCTCCCATGTGCATCATCACTGCCACTCCATGATGAGATATAGCTAAACATGGGCCACTGCTCGAGGCAAGCATGCTGCAGCTGATCATACAGGGCATAGGATCAGGAGCTGCGTGGATCACCTTGAGCCTCGAGGCTCTCTTCATCGAACGAGCTCGAAACTTTCGGGCGCCATATAGCCGCTCAAAACACATGCACTTGGCCCTTGGACACAGGCGTCTGCAAAGAGTTGTGGGGGGGAGGTAGCTCTTGCCGGTCCGGTAACTTCTGGCAGTCCACCATTGCGGCATTTCCAGGTTTCAGGATAAGGGCCCGAGTATACAACCCACTGAAAAGTAATGAGGATCCCTCTCCAAAACTACTCCCCTGAACCCTACACCCTGGAGGCCCCCTTTGCGCCGATGTTTGGGGCCCCCGCTTCGCCTCGTATTCCTGGAACTGCCTGGGCTGCAGGGAGAGGCCCTGGTGGGTTTAGGGTTCGGGCGGTTTGGGGTTTATGGGCTTACAAGAGCCCTACCCTAACCCTAAAGCCCTTGTCGGTTTCAGCGACGGGCTGGGCTTTAAGGGCCCTGGGGCTTAGTTGGTTGCAGCGTGACACAGAACTAGTTCTGCAGTATGTATTGCGAGACCGTGCCGTGCAACAGCAAAGAAACCATAAAAATACGTATGTATTTTTATTAAAATCTCGGTGATGACTTCGTAGGCCAGAATCCGAATCCAACGGACTTCGCCCAGTGGCGCTGCTAGGAGCGACGGGTCCAGGAAGCTGTTGGCATTCTCGACCTCCTCGAGGTGCCTTGCTCAGAGTTATATGGTTCTGGTCTTTGATCTTCTGTGGATATTGGCATGCTTAGCATATTTTGCCTCGCTCCCAAGCTTCAGCTGTGTATTCTTTGTCGGAATATATGCTACATTACATGCCTGCGTGCAAAACACACATGTGCAGAGAGGATACGGGGTGTACTGTTACCTAGACACAAACGCACATCTCTCCATCAGCCCGAGCTTTCGGGGTTAAGGGTTTTTCAAAAGACCCTAAACCCTAAACCCTAGGCTTTAGGGAACCGCCCCTCTGGCGCCGAGCAACAAGGCCAGCGCAGCCAACTCGCTCTCGGACATCTCTGTAGAGCCCGGGAGCGTCGCCTGTTTGGATGGCTTAGGAGTGGAGGGCTTAATGTAGAAGCTTATTAATGTAATTACCTACATTATTCCGGTTCCTCGTAGAGTTATACTGTATATAACATCCCCCAAAACCCTGTTCTAATTATGAGGGCCGCTAGAGTAACTTATTATGCCGGGGGCAGAAGTACAGCTCAAGTATCAGGGCAAAGTCTCAATCTGAAAGCTCAAAGTCCCCAAACTAACTCGCAGAAACTCCGTCTTGTGGTTCGGGAGGCGTTCTCTCTCTCTCTCACTCTCTTTCTCTCTGCCGCTGCATCAAGAGGCGAGTGTTGTTCCTGGCATCTGAGCTGGAAGGTCCGGAGCCAGGAAGCCCAGTGGCCCACCGGTGAAGCAAATTGAGGGTTGTTTTCTCTCCCAATTGAGGGCTTAGGATTTAGGGTTTAGGGTCTGGGGTTTAGGGCTAGGCTACATGCAGGGTCTTCAGCTGAGCACAGTCTCGGAGCAGGTTAGGTTATGCCGATCTCTGCAGAGAAGGCAGGTCACCTCTTCCTCCTCGGCTTGCAGTCGCCGCGCGAGGATCTCATCCTTACTGGCTCGGGGCCTAGGGTGAGGGCTTCATGTGCTAAAAAGATACATGCCCTTGCGCGCGACATGCCGCAGTCAATCCAAAGCGAGACTGCCGCTTGCAATGTAATGTCATGTAACATAATCTGATTCAAAGTAGTACTGTATGATCTAGTAGAATAATGTCATGTTACATAATCGAATTCAATGCAGTACTGTATGATATAGTAGAATATCTGCTTCGGCCTCAGCATCCGCAGACGGTGCAGATCCGGCGGCTGTCGAGGGGAGGCTGCCTCCATTACCGGCTCCGGAAAGGGGAAGTCCCAGTTTGAAATCCAAGTTTGGGGCACAAGCAAAAAATTGAGACCTTCAGAGCAGAATAGGGTTGTTGGTGTATTCTACAACACCTGACAATAACCATAAGAGGCACGCCAAAGAATCATCTTAATGGTAAATGTGCAGGCTTCTATATATTAGGGAGTGACTTCCAGCCAGCCATGAGACTGCCTCCACCACCCACGTGCCACCGACTGCGAAAACAAGCAAATCGACCTAAACATGTAAGTCCTGCCTAAACCCTTGGGAAGCCTTCGTCAGACATCTCGACGGCAACAGTCTCAGCACTCGCACGCTGAAAACGGTTTCCTGGCATCGCCAGGTGCACGAATGCTGTCAGAGATCTTGGTAGCAAGGGTCATCGACTTGAAGGAATTGCAATTTGTGTTTCGTGCATGTATACGACCGTTCTGATTCCAATGAACTCTTTCGCCACAAAGGTTTACGGTCACCTGAGTCCTTAACCTGGAGAAGCCCAAACCACGCAAACTAAAGCCCAAACCCTAAACCACGAAGCCCTAAACCAAACCTCTCTGAATCCTTCTCCAGACCATTTCGGGGCGATCCTCGCTTCGCTGGCTCGGGCAGGGGCATTGCAGCGTTGGCTCCATGGTCTTCGACTGGTACATGGGTAGACCCGGCAGTGGGAGGCTTGTTACAAACTGCAAAATAACAACAAATCAGGGGAACACGCTAAGAGATGGTAATACCCGAAATCAAAAACTACGATGACTGGTGGTAATCAGCATGTGTCATGGTCATGTTGTGTCCGGAATAGCCTCACAAACTCTGATCAGGCACAGACATGATCGCAGATCCAAATTATGGGCTTCAGGTCGTGCAGCTGCGGGAAGACCCCAGGGACCCCCAGCTGTGTACACGCAGCTACCTGCTGGAAGTCGATGTCGTGCGCTAGACGCCCATGCAAAAGCATAGTAAGTATGTGTGCATGGTGTGTATGAGTATATAAGTATATGTACTAAACAGCTGAACGACTGAATAGCTAAAATTGGGTGTACATACACATAAACTTACATAAATGTATACACATACATTTATACTTATATACAAGACTATAAAGCCCTCAATTGCGAATGTGTTTTCCAAGGAGCCAAAAGCCCCGGATCCGGCCATGAGCAGCAACTCTGCAGCGCGTTCCTGGTTTAGGGCTTGATAGGGTCGGGGTTTAGGGCTTAGGGCCTTTAGGGGTTGAGGCCCCGGGAAGCCAATGTAAGCCTATAGGAGTGTTCACAAGCTATGACTTCAGCCAGTATTCTGCAAGGGAAGACGACATGTCTCAGCGAACTGTGTCACGCATTGTTGACTCCAAGTATAGTAAAGAATAGTATAGCATAGTATAGTATAGAGCAATATAGTATAGTATAGTATAGTATAGTATAGTATAGTACAGTATAGTATAGGTGGTTCGCATGTGTGCGCCGAACCACCTCTAGCTCTAGCTTAACTTCCCCGCCAAGTCCACATGTCCTGCTGAGAAGCTATAGTTGTCAAAACTCTTCTTCCAAGGTTCCCTCCGACCATTCCATGCGGCCACAGCAAATCTGTGCTTATGCAGCCCTTGAAAAAGCCCCCCAAGCCCGGCCCAAACAACAAACGTAATCAGTCGCAGGCCCGGGTGCCAGGTCCCCGCCGCTAGCGGCCCAGGCCGCAGTGGCATCTGCGTGAGAGGCACCAAGCTGCTGCAATGCCAAGAGCTCCTTGATATGCTGACGACGACGGCGACTATTACTACCCACCCGTGCAACTACTGCTGCTACGACTCCGACTACGACTGCCGCTGCTGCTGCTACTGCTACTGCTAGTTCTGCCGTTGCTGCTGCTGCTGCGGCGGCTACTGCTACTACACCTACCCCTTCCCCTACCCCTATGTCTTCTCCTACTCCTGCTGCTCCTACTCCTGCGCAGCAGCAGTAGCAAGTAGCAGTAGTGGTAGCAGTAGTAGTGGTGGTCGTAGTGGTAGTAGTAGTAGTAGTAGTAGTAGTAGTAGTAGTAGTGGTGTAGTAGTAGTAGTAGTAGCAGTAGTAGTAGTAGTAGTAGTAGTAGCAGTAGTAGTAGTAGTAGTAGTAGTAGTAGTGGTAGCAGTAGTAGCAGCAGAAGCAGTAGAAGTAATAGTAGCAGTAGCAGTAGCAGTAGCAGTAGGTGTAGCTGTAGTAGGAGTAGGAGTAGGAGAAGGAGTAGGAGTAGGAGTAGTAGAAATAGTAGTAGAAGTAGCACGGCGACGACGACAACTGTATTCAGTCAACTCGAAGGTTTATTCGGCCTGGACCACACTGAACATGTCTGGCAGTGCTTCAGGGCTGAGTAGTTACTGCGTTGTTGCGTCTCATCGGGTTCGGTCGCAGTCTGGCAGCACTGCCATGACTGCCATGCTCACTGCTCAGAAACTGAGCCATGACATAATGACAAACAAAGCCTGCAGCGGGGTGTAACCGGAGATGAGGCCCGATGACTGACTTGCTCAAGTGTTTCAGCTTGGTTTCAAAATCCCAAACCCTTTACACCAGAAAAGGTCCCTCCATAGCCACTCCCGCGTCCTTGTCGTGGTTTATGTGCAAGTTGAGCCGGTCCGATTGCAGGCCTTGCATGCCCGAAATTGTGTGGCGTGAGTGCGTGCATGCGCGTCTCTACACCAAACAATGCATCTTCTTCCCCGGCATAGGGGGCGGGTCAGACCCCCCGGCCTATTGGCCCCCCATATGTTATGGGGCTTTCGGGGGTGTGAAAAGTTTGTTCGAGTTCACGGAGTCTTTACTTTTATTTTAACAATGCATCTCTCTCCGTGTCTTTCTCTCTTGCTTGCTTGCTTGCCTCTCCCTCTCTGTACAGAGACAGACAGACAGAGAGTGAGGGACGCACCGGGAAAGTGCGCAGACTAGAGACAGGGGGGGGTTGCGAGAGAGAGAAAGAGACAATGAGCCACAAAGTGAGAGAGTCGGATCGAACCGGGCAGCATGCGAACATACCGTTGGATACTGGCTTTAGGGTTACAGCACTCACACTCGGATAAGCCTCGGTGAGGTTACTGGTACGAGGCGAAGAGCTCATTGGCCCCAGGCTAGCGTATTAGCCAGCAAACATGGGCAGTTTGGGGTTTGCACAGCTATCCTGGGCTCCTGCACGGGGGCAACTGTTCTCCGACCACTGCCGCTGAATTTAACTATCCAGTGGCCAGACTCGTACTCGTACACCAGCACGACAGGAGCAAAGAAGCTCCTAAACGGCAACTCTGAAGTCGACAACGACCACGATGGAACAACAATGAGGCTGCCGCCCCAGTGGCTCAGCGAGTGGTTGCTCAGCATCTTTCCGAGGGGACGGCTGTTCTCCATGGTCTCCTAGACTGGAATGGCTTAGCTTTTTTTCCCACCCGCCCAGCTGACTATGTCGCACCGCAGGGAACTCGTTCGACGAACTGCAAAGGGGAACGACTTGCGAGGTCCAGGGTCAGATGCAAGCCCTCTGAGAAGAAGCCACCACCACATGGCTTAGCTTAGGCCTTAGGTGTCCGGGCTGTCGGGCCACTGTCGGGTGTGAGGTTCCAGAAGTCTACCCCACAGTCTGAGCCTATCGGCTGTGTGCCACAAACCGGCACAGGCGGGGGGCACGAGTGTTCTACGCGGGCGGGTCGCGACTCGCGGCTGCCATCACAACATGCGTGATGTGCCCCAAGTGGGATCTGATGTAGGCCTTGCAGGCTAGTCTCCGGCGCAGATTTTCCGAACTGCAACGCCTCAAACACAGAACCCGAACCCCTGTGCGGCTGGTGTCGGGGTCTGTGATCGTCTGCCACATGCCCTTCTTCTGCATCTTGTCGGGGTAAAAGAACCTCTGAGATGAGCTAGGAACACTTGCGGGTCACAATGATCCTGTGGGTGCCCGTGCCAATCATAGCGAAAGTTATCACCGACAGTGAAATCGAAATGCCGATCCCAAATACCCCCTCGCAAAGAAGATGTGACCACAACAACCCCCACTGCCAGAACCGCAAAGTGGTGACACTCAGCGGGAACATGCTCATGCCCAGCCTCTGATCGGAATGCAATAAGAACACTCGCAACAGCAACAACAACGAGGACGGCCACACCGCGACCACCACCACCACCACCAACAACAACAACAATAACAACGACAACAGCAACACCAGTACCAGCAGCAACCACAACCACAGCAAGGTGTTTCAGAAATCATAACGACTGAAGATCACCTCACGGATAGCAATAAACAACAAATGCCCAGGCCAGGGACACAACCAAGGTGATGCGGCCGTCTGTGATTTCCGGCATGATCGGGACTCCGTGCCTGCAAGCTCGCAGTCGCACAAAGACGCATCACCGGCAAGGATCTGCTCTAGATGCAACACAGATTGACGTTGTCTAGGTGGCACGACACGTGCAAGCTCGATGCTGTCTGCTGCCACATGAAAACAAAGCTCGCTGCCTCTGGGTCCCAAATATGCACAGGTCGCCATCTTGCATCAGCCTCTGTGACACTGCGGCAGTGTGACTTCTTGGTGGCATGCATCCTTCAATGCGTCGCAGATTCCACGGCTCGCACACTGCTGGTACTACGAAAGAGGGTGCAATGCAGGAGCTCAGTGCGAGCGAACATGCTCAAGCTGACAGCATACAGTGCAATTGGAAGCGTACTGAGTACTGAGGTGTAGTTTGCGATGGCTAGATTCAGCATCAAAGACGGTGCGCAACGCCAATACAGTCACTACAGCAGGAAGCCAGGGTTATGTAATATGCCAGCCAATACATGTTTTGCCATCTGTTACTCAGTCGTCCCGGAGCATGCGGTAGCACGTCGCCTACAAAACATATGTATGTTACATCTATCAAGGTGAGCAGAAGCGTCTTCAACCAACACTTCTTGAAAATAAGTGAACTAAACTTTAAACTTGTACATGGCTTCCAACTGATATCCACTGTTATTGGTACACCTGCCAATACGCCGAGGACGACTACTGCTGCTACTACTCCTACTAATACTGCAACAACGACAACAACAACAACCTACTACTACTACTACTACT